AGCCAGAGGGACGATGCGGGTGGCAGATACAGACCTGCCTTCCAGACTGCACAGGGGAACTTGAGGAGACAAAGGCCAAGGGTCTTGAGATGCCAAGCACACAGAACAGAGCAGGTGGGGAGGAGGAGGCGGACAGCGCACCCCCGGCTCATCTCTCGTGCCGGCTGCGGGCCCACTTTCTCCACTGGTTCTCCCTGCCACATGCTGGGGCAGTGTTGGGCTTGTGGAGGGTCCTGCCTCTCGTCCCCACAGTGTTCCCAGCCCTATAGAGCCACGCAGGGTTCTGAGCACACAGATCGTGGTCTTGCTTTACAAAGGACCTGAATGTCACTGTTTCGGAGGAGACAGGTGTAGACAGGGAGTGTGGAGCGGGCCAGGGGTGTTCGGGCCAGGGGTGTTCGGCCCGTGGTGCGGCCTCGGCTCCGGGAACCGGTTTCCCCTCTGGCTTGTCGTCAGAGCAAATCTGCAGGCTGCCTCCCTCTGCAGCCTCAGTCAGATCCCTTCTCCAGGTGTCTGTCTCCTTACCTGTCACATGGGACTTGGCGTCCCTTCTCTTGGGCTTGGCTCTGCTTGGAGGGAGCGTGGGTGGAGAGAGAATGTTGTGACCAGCTCTGCCCCTTGCTGCTCCGCAGACACCACTTGTGCCGCTCCCGGCACTACTGCCGTGACGTGGGCAACAGCCTGGAGACTCTGTACACCCAGGTGGAGCGGCTGGTGCAGCAGGCCAGCCACCAAGCCGACTCCTCTGTCTCCCTCTACTACTTCAACGCCTCCCTCTACCTGCTCCGGGTTTTGAAGGGTAACATGGCCGACAAGTCCGTCCGCCAGCCTGCGCAGAAGGAGAAAGCGGGCGCTAACACCAGCACCAAGCCCAAGGGCCCCGAGGTGAGTGGCCGTGGCCCAGGAAGGCTCAGCCTAGAAAGCCTAGCGCGGACAGATAGGAGCAAGTCCCAGGCAGCAGGTTGGGACCGTCCTCCCATTGCACAGGGTTGGGGTTGAGGCCCTGGCTTCCCAAGGGCCCAGCTCTCAGCCTTCCCTCTTGCTGGCATCACACTGTCTCTCTCTCAGGTGTCCCGGGCTACCAGCTGCTTAGATTTGAACCTCGTGACCCCGATGTACTCATCAGCGCTGAGCTCCTTCCTGACCAAGCGCAACAGCCCACTCACGGTTCCCATGTTCCTCAGCCTCTTCTCCCGGCACCCGGTGAGTGGAGGGGCCGGCCCAGCCCACGGGGCCCCGCCCCGCCCCGCCCCCATCTCACAGCCCTGCCCTTCCCTCGATAGATGCTCTGCAAGAACCTGCTCCCTGTGGTGATCCAGCACGTGACGGGCCAGACGCGGCCTCGCCACCAGGTAAGGGCCTGTCTGGATCCCCGACTTGACTCGTTTCTGGCCGGGTGTCTGAGGCCCAGAAGCGCTGCCTGGTGAGACTAGGGATGAGCAGGCCCGGTGCACCCCTGCCCCTCTGACCTGGCCAGCCCCTCCCTCACCGTGGGCTCAGTGTAGCTGGGGGTGGGGCAGCTTGGCTCCCAGCGCTTCCACGTCCCGTGTGGCCCAAGCCCTCTGACCCCTTAGTGCTCACGCGCTGACCTACACAGTGGAAGCCCCTTTGCTGGCTGCTCAGGTGCCGAGCTGATGGGCGGGCCGAGGACAGAGACGAGGGGGCTGGGGAGGCTGGAGGAAGACAGTGCTGCATAGTAAACAGGTCAGGAGCTGTCTCAGCCCAGGTTGCTACCTCCGCCCAGCGGAGAGTGCTTGCTGCCCCACACCCCAGGCCTCTGCTCCCTCGCCTGCCTGAGAAGCGGGACAGGGGCAGATGAGAACAGGCCCCAAAGCTTCGCGGTAACAACCAGGCAGGCTGGGCCCAGAGCTGCAGGCAGCCCCTCACGCGGCCTAGGGTTGTCTTGGCCTTAGCAGACGCCTGGCAGGCTGTCGGAGCTCTTCGGGTCCCCTCGGCTCCCTAAGCCTGGCCCAGCATATTGGGTCTCGTGGTGACCACGTTCCATCACCCCAGGCGCAGGCCTGCCTGCTGCTCCAGAAGGCTCTGCCCGTTCGGGAGCTGAGACTGTGCTTTGAGGACCCCGAGTGGGAGCAGCTGATTGGGCAGATCCTCGCAAAGGTCACTGAGGTAACAGCCACGGAGGTCCCCTCCCACACTCCCGTCAGGAACGGCTCAGAGCCAGGGACTGAGGATTACTGGGACCCTCAGCTTCGGGGTGGTTTGGGGTTTCCCCGGGGAGACGTTTCTTCTGTCGGGACTTTGCTCTCTCCTATGGGAAATGGCTTCGGGAAGCATGGCCGAGTGGCTCAGCCTGGCCGCCGCCTCCTCAGAACTTTCAGGCACTGGGCGAAGGGCAGACCAAGTCGCAGCACCTGAAGGAACGGTCCTCCTTGGAGCTGCTCAACACTCTTTTGCGGATTATTCATCATGAGGTCAGTCTTGGGGTCAGAAAGAAGGTCACCAGCCAGGCAGAGGAACTAGCCCCGGCAAGGGCTTAGGGACAGGCGGAGAGCCACGTGGGGAAGGTTCTAGATGCCAGGGGAGGAATTCGGCTGTTTCTACTCGCGTGGCTAGAGAGCCGTGGACACACGTGGTTGGCCTGGGAGAGGAGAGTGCCACCCCTGAGCCTGGTCCGGTTGGGGTGAGAGGGGGCGCTGGTTTTTTGTTTTGTTTCTGTTTTTTAAGATTTTATTTATTTTTAGAGAGGGGAAGAGAGAGAAAGAGAGGGAGAGAAACATCAGTATGTGGTTGCATTTCATGTGCCCCTTGCTGGAGACCCAGCCTGCAGCTGGGAATCGAACCTGCTCAATCCACTGTGCGACACCAGCTACAGCGGGAGCGGGTGGGGGGCGGGGGGTGGCGCTGCTGTTGTTTATGCTCCAGCTAGGAAAGCTGAGCAGGCACTGGCAGGGCTGGGGGTGAGGAGCATTCCTGGCGGGCAGCTGTTAGGAAGAAGCCAGGTCTCCAGGCCTGCGGAGTGGGGCAGGGGGCTGTCGGGGGGCCAGGTGGCAGCTGTGGGTAAGTGGGCCCTCAGCCTGGCCAGAGGGAAAGGCCTGGGAGTCATAGCACAGACACTGGCCACAGCCCACACACGGGGCAAGCTTGCCGGGAGGTTGCCCGGGGAGGGGGCGGGGCCGGGGCCTTGCAAGGCAGCTGGTGGGCCTGAGAAGCGGTGCCCAGGGTGGCAGCAAAAAGCCAGGACGTTGGGTGTGCTGGAAGCCAGCGGGTCTCAAAGTAACTCAGCCAGCATGTGGCAGGGAGGGTGAGATGGGAGGACGGGCTTTGGCCACTCTGATGTGATTGCATCGTGCCCTCAGAGGTGGGCAGGCCAGAGCCGCCGGGGGGAGGACTGAGTGGGAGGTGAGGACATAGTTACTGGGGCTTCTGGCTGTGGGGAGAGGGAACAGCATGGCCCCTGGGGCTCCTTTCTCTTCCTGAGGCAAATGAAAGTGGGGATGCACAGGCCGAAGGAGTGACTGAGGGGGCAGAAGGGGGCGCGGGAGGGGCAGTAGTTGGGCAAGGGTGGGGGGACTGGCGACTGGGAGGTGGGGAGAGGCACTGCTTCCCCTCCACTGTAGCCATAGCTTTGCCACCCTTCGCAGAAGCTGACCGTGGACCTGACAGTCGTCCAGGGCGTGCTGCAGAGCCAGCAGTCAAAGCTGCAGGACAGGGTGCAGCAGCGGGAGCGCTCCGCCGGGTCCAGCCGCCTCTACGACCTCTACTGGCAGGCCATGAAGGGCCTCGGGGTCCAGTAGGTTCTGGGAGAGGGCCCGCACCTTGGGAGGGGCTGGAGAGACCCTCACGCTGCATGCGTTGCGTGGTGTGCATGCTCCGGTGTCGGAGCCCTGGGTGGCTTGTGTCCCGCAGGACCACAGAGGTGGGGGACACGTGCCCTCACTGGGCGCTTCCCTACTTGCTCATTACCCCCCAGGCGCCCCAAGTCGGAGAAGAAGGATGCCAAGGAAGCCTCCAGTGCCCCACAGAGCCCCGTTAGCATGAAGCGGAAGAAAAAGGGGTTCTTGCCAGAGACCAAGAAGCGCAAGAAACGCAAGTCAGAGGGCCCCACGCAGAAGTCAGACGCCCAGCCTGCAGCCACCGGTGGAGAGCAGCCCCCCAGCACAGGCAAGAAGAGGAAAAGGAAGAAGGCTAAGGTCGCAGCCCAGGCCCAGGTGAATGGGACACCTGTCGCCAAGAGTCCCGCCACCAAGAGTCTGGCCCCTGCGCCCGCTGCCTTGAGCCCCAGCACCCCTGCCGAGACCCCAAAACTCCAGAAGAAAAATCGGAAGCTGTCCAAGGTGAATGGAGCTACTCCTTTGTCTCCCACGGAGCCTGCAAGCGAAAAGCAGCACCAGAAGGAGCTGCCCAAAAAGGGGGTCTCAGGCAGATCGCCACAGTCGGCGCTGCCGCGGAAAAAGGCAAGGCTGTCTTTGGCCAGCAGGAGCCCCAGCCTCCTCCAGAGCGGGGCCAAGAGAAAGAGAGCACAGCTGAGGAAGGGGGGGAAGCCCTGAGCGCAACCTGCCCCTCGGCCCCTCCCCGTCAGCCCCAGAGACTCCTCTATTTTTTCACCAGGATTTTAATAAACAAGCCGCTGTGTGAGGTCCTGCCTTCTGGCACCAGGGGCACAGGGTCTGCTGCTAGCCTGCCTGCAGGTCCTTCCACAGCACGCGTGCCCCACGTCCTTGTCTGTGTGGCCCCGGGGGAGCGAGATGCTGGCCCTGGCCTGGGCCCTGCCCTGCACTCTGGCTGTCCTGTTTCCAGCCCGGAGCACAGGTGAATTGTACGGGGCTGGGACCTCGGCTCCCGGCCATGTGGGCCGGGTCCAGGGCTCTGGTGTCCGGGCAGGTAGCACGCAATGCCACCAGTGCATTGCGGGCCACCACGCTGGCTGAGCACAGGTATGACTGCTCCTGTGGCCGCGCCCCCCCCCCCCCCCCCAGGTTACTTTCCTGCAGGAGCCACCAGGGCATGACTTAAATAGGTTTATTTCTTCATTTACAAGAGGAATATATTTGGTTTCTCTCTTAAGACTCTGAGATTCACAATCAGCAGCTCTAAAAAATAAAGGAGCAGTTTGGCTTCCGGAAGGAAGAGGAGGCAACACTTGGACCTGGTTCTTGTACAACAAGAAAAGATTGCTGGGGCCCCAGTTGAGGCTGGGGTGAGGGTGGAGGCCAGGCTGGTCTTTGGGGGATCCTACCCCCTTGTTAGGCCCCCTCCAAGGCGCCCCAGAGCTTGGTGGGGAGTGGGTATTCCAGTAGCTTAGACACCACTGAAGCCACGCCAGCCACTGACTACAGGGCAAGGAGAGCATTGTCTAAGCCGGCTCTTCGGGTCTCCGAGGGGCCCCCAGACCAGAACCGCCTTGATTCCAGCAAATGTGCGGGGAGGGGAGTGGAGCAGAGGGGCTGCGGCGAGCTGCACACTGGGCGCCAGGGTCTGGTGTGAGATTCAGCAGCTGCGCCCTGCGTGTGGCTGTGAGGGTGGGATAGTGTACGCAGATGGGACCCCGGGGCGGCCGTGGGCTGCGGAGGTGCACGTGAGCAGCAGCGCCGACGCTGGGTGGAGGCGGCTCAGGAGCCGCAGCCTCTCGGGCCTCGTCCTCCACCAGCTCTCCCTTGGGTCAGGAAGCTCAGTGGAGGGCCACCGCCCCTGGCTGGCAGAGCCCTGGCTGCTGCCCATGGGTTCCAGGAAGAGTCCCCCTGGGCCCTACCTCTGGCAAGAGCCCTGTGGGGGGCAGGAGTAGATTCTGGCTTCTGTGGGGCGTCCAGGAAGATAACAGGGACTGCAGGGAGCCCTGTCTCCCAGGCAGGCAACCCCCATGGTCTCAGGCCTGAGGGCACAGGTGACACGTAGCAACCACCAGGGCCTTCACCCCTGGCGATGCCAGCTCTCCACTCAGATGGTCCTCACCCAGGAGACGTCCGGGCCAAGAACCAGCCCAAAGCAGCAGAGGCAAGGGACTGTCCAGGCTGGGGAATTCTCAGTGACGGGTGTCAGGCTGAGTCCACTGACACTCAGGTCAGAGGCCCGACTGAAAGGCCATGGTTCCCACACACCAGGAAGCCTCAGAGCCTGAAGTGACACCCTGGGGCCTGGGCCGCCTCTGGGTGCAGTCCAGGAGCCGTTGGGTCTCCAAAGCTGCAGCGAGTGCCTTGCCTGGCAAGCTGCGAGGGCAAGTCCAGCTCCCTGGCCCTGCGGTCTGGAGAGGGCAGGGACCTGCCCAGGACGTAAGCGGGTGGCAGCCCAGGCTCTCTCCACACGCCCAGTGGGGGCTGTCTTCTTCTTGGGTCCCAGGGCCCCTGCAGCCCCGGCCCAAGGCTGGGGGTCTGTCCACCCATGTGGCCCCAGTGCACGTGGCCCTCCGGGTTCGTTGAGGACACAGGCTCCTCTTGGAGCCATGGCCACTCGGTGGTCCCAGACCAGAGACGGTGGGTATCCAGCCGTGGGTTGCGTGTGAAGCTGGACAACCCAGCAGGGCTGGGGTGCTGAAGGACACCTCCCAGGCTAGGTGGGAGGGAGCGCTCTTCATAGTTCCAGAGGCACCTAGAAGGAGGAGGGGGCAGAGGTCAGAAGTGGGGCTTTGGGAGACATCTTTAGAGCTTCCTTCATTTTCCTTGCTGCTTGAAGAAATGCCTTTCTCTGACCCTGAGGGCATGTCGGTCTCCTGGGGCCAGGGTTGGGGGTGGTGGCCTTGGGTCTTCACATGGCTGGGAAGTGCCCCTCCCAGGGGCAGGCCCAAAGGAAGGTCAAAGTAGGAGCGGGGCCCTGGCACCTTTAGGAAACCTCGGGATGAGGGAATCCGCGACAGAGCAGGGAGTCCTGGCCAGCTCTGGCCCTGACCTGTGCCCCCAGCCCGCCTGAGGAAGGAAGGGGGGCTGATTTACTGGAAGAGGGAGCCTGCACCCCTCCCACGGATCCTCCAGTCAACTTGGCAACGGTTCAGGAGGAAGGGCTGCCTTAAGTGCTCTCTCTGCCCTGAATCCTGCCGTCCCGCGGCACTGCCTGCACTCACCGCCTCAGGCCTTCATGGATGCGGGCGGCATCGCCAGCTCGCTCGCCCTGGGGGAGAGATGGGCAGGGGTCAAGGCGGCGGATCAGCGGGGGCCGAGCCCGGGCACTGCTCTGGCACATCGCATCACGGGGGCCGGCTGACCGGACGTGCTGGGCAGGGACCTCGTCAGCCCCAGGGGGAGGTGGGAGAGCCCAGGGGTGGGGAGAGGAAAGAGAGAAGAGTAAAGAAGAGAGAAAGAAGTCAGAAAATGAGAGTACCAGAAGAGAGGGGCCCCAGTTCTGAACACCGTTAACTTCCCAGAATCCCAAGTCTACAACCGCCAGGAACAGCCCGGTTCACCACGGGGACCCCCAGCTCCCAAGCCCACCCCGGGTGGGATGGAGGCCCCCGAGCTGCAGGCAGCATGAGGAGGACAGGGGGACTTGGGAGCTGGGCCAGGAGCCAGGCAACCCACCCGCATCCCCCTCCCTGCCCACCCCCAGGCAGGGGTGTGGCAGTGGAGGCAACAGGCCCTCCCTACCCCACTCACTGCTGCTCAGCCTTGGCACGGTCCCTGAGGAAGAAGAGAGCAGTGGCCAGGAAGAACATGCCACCCAGGACCACAACGAAGGGGCAGAGCATGAGGGCGTAGCCCAGACTCAGGAACTCCCAGAGAGGCGAGTCCTTGGTGCTCTGGCGGATCAGGTCGGAGATCTGCGAGGGGTGTGGGTGAGCGTCAGGGCAGGCCCACCACCGAAGCCCGTCGCCCCCCACAGCCACACCTGCCCCCGGACTCACAAAGCCGATGAGGTAGGGGCTGCCAGCGTCCCCCAGCAGGTGAGAGGTGAAGCTCTGCAGGGCCATGGCGGTGGCCCGTCTTGTGGGGATGACCACACACTGCGGAGGAGGTGGCAGGTCAGAGGCCAGAGGAGCCAGGCCCACCCACCTGGCCTTGTCCCTGAGGTCAGGACACTTCAGAAGCCCTCACACCATCAGACCCCTTCTGCCCTGGCATCCTAACACCTCACTCCGCTGGGCTCTTCCCTCCCCCCACCCCTCCTCCCGTGGGGGCTGCCTGCTCATCTCCAGCTCGTGAGACCAGGCTGCCGTGGATTCTGCGCTGGGCTCTTGGTGGGGAGCCAGCTGTGGCGGTGGTCATGGGAAACTGATGCCCAGAGGGACACCGGTTACACGTGGAGTCAGGCAGCGCTGGGCCCAGAACCCCGACCTCTCCGCCTCCGGCCCCCGCCTCCCCATCAGTCAAAGGTCCATCTTGGTTCCCCCTCCATGAGGTTGGCCTAGAAGGGAGTGGGGAGCAGGGCCCTGCCTGAAGAGCCTCCACTTTTACCCAGGGGCACCCCCGGTCCCAAACGCCAGGGGTCGCTGGGCCCCAGGAACCCTTATCAGACAGGGCTGGCCCTAACCATGGGGCGCAGCTCCCAAACTGGGCCATGCAGGCAGCCGCCAGCTGAGCGGCACCCCAGCAGCCCTCTGCCCCGAGCTCTAGCCGACTCATCTAGGTAGACGGCCAGCCACGGACGATCTGTGAGAGCCGCCAGGTCCACTGGGCACCCCTTGGCAGGGGGCAGGGACGAGCCCTGGATCTGATGGGACTGTGTGGCCCCATTTCCAGCAACAGTCATGTGGCTGTGACACTTAATAAAATGGGACACGATTTCCCTGGGACCCAAGCGCTGTCGGCAGCTGGGGCTGCAGCAGGGGGCGGAGGCAGGGAAGGGGGTCCTGCGCAGCACCTGGAGCACTTGATTCAGGCAGGTTCCTCCTCCCTCCACTCTGGGCACGTGCAGTGACCCCCCAGCCTCGCCTGCCACCCCGCCTGGCTCCATGTTGAGGCACAGAGCTGAGTCAGGCCACCTCTGTGCCCCTCCCACCCCCTCCAGCCCGCGGGGACTGGTGTGGGCAAGAGACAGTCCCAGGTGAAGCAGATACGCAGAGATGGACGCTCCGGTGGGGCAAGGTGGCCTTCCTGGAGGGGAGCGGCTGGCAGCGGCCCCAGCGGCCGCCAGACTCTGGTCTCTGGGGCTGCCCCGTACTGTGGCACCAAACCCTGAGTGTCCTGAGGGTGGCCCGTGAGAAGCCCTCCTGCCTCCTCCCCCCACGGCCTGTCCCAGCAGCCCCCAGACCTCCTCCCACCCCCACCCCGCCCTGCTGGTCCCTGCACTCCTTTCTCCCACTCCTCTCCTGACACTGACTTGGAGGGTCCCAGCGGGCAGGGCCAGGTGCCACACCACCCCCAGCTCTCACCGCCCTTTAGACTGCTGCAAGGCGCCAGGTCCGCGGCCCCTCCCAGTTCCCCCCAGGCTGCACCCAACCCCACCCAGGGACACCAACCCCTGCCGCGCTCAGACAGCCCTTTGTCCCTGGCCGGCTGCTCTGGAGCCCATTGTTGGCCCTGTGAAGACGGCCTCTGTCCGCCAGCCACATCGCGGGCACTCGGGCAGCCGCGCCTGGGACCCAGGCTGAGCTGCGTCAATGGCAGCGTGGACCCTGGGGGAGGAGCGCTGGCAGGCGGCACCCTCTCAGTGCCAGCCTGGCACTGCCAGCCTCCCAGCCACAAACCTGAGCCTCCAGACGTGCCCCCACCCCAACCCAGTCTCCGTATCCACTGCCTGCTCAGCCCTCTGATTTCAGGCACTGCCCCATGCAGACCCCAACATCCCTGATCCCCTCCCTGCCTCGCCTTCCCAGCCTGCCTCCCTGCCCCCCACCAAATCCTGCCAGCTGGTCCCCCAGCCTTCGCCCTCCCCCTCGCCCTCCCCCGCTGCCCCAAGAGGACAAGAGGCCTGGCCAGCCTGCCTCACCATGAGGATGTCTGCAGTGATGGCCCAGTTAGAAAACAGCAGCGTCTCCCCGACAAAGATGCAGATCTGCCCAGGAGAGACCAGAAGAGCCGTCAGGAGACTCTCACCCACCAGCGGCCTCGGCGGCTCCCTGCACCCTGGCTGCTGGCAGGGAACCCCAAAGGCTCCCACCCCGCCCCCTGGGGCCTGCATCGTCTGGCAGTCGGGCTCATAAGGAATTTGTGTCTTATCAAGCCAGGCCCACAGCCCCAAAGGGCACCAGAGGCCTGGGCAGGCCTTGGACAGAGCAGGGCAGGCAGACAGGAGCCTACCCGTGGGGAGGGAGGGCCCCATAAGTCGGACTGCACCTCCTGCCAGGCCACACCCCCCACTCCCCCACACCCCCACCCCACTCACATAGGCCCCCACAATGCTGCTCTTGGCGGCCACGAAGATGAGGCAGATGAAGATGGCAGAGCCCAGCATGCCCACAGCGCACACCAGCGGGTCGGCTCGCTGGGTCCGAAGGCGGCACCAGCGTGTGGCTCCCGCGCCCGTGACCACACCCAGAAAGCCCGTGAAACAGGTGATGGCCCCGAAGATGAGGCTGTGGGGACAGAGGATGATGGGGTGTGGGCTGACAGGTAGAACAATCCTGGGGCAGAGGCTGGCGCTTCTGTCCAGCGTCCCTCGCCACCCTGCCACCCTCCCGCACCCGGGCCTGGCCCCACCTGTCCTTGGCCCCACATGGCGGGCTGCTGCACGTCTCTGCCGTCTTCTGCACGACTTGGGCACGGTACAGGTAGAGCGGGATCCACATGCCCAGGGCCCCTGTGGCGAAGGACACAGCCGACGTGGCCAGGGAGGAGAAGACGTAGCTGCGGCTGAGGAGAGGCCGGGGCAGCGACACTGAGTAGGGCCAGGCCCCCTGCAGCTGGCCCGGCGGCAGCCTTTCCTCTCCTACTCCTTCCCCTGGGTCAGAGGTCTCTAACGTCTTCCCTTACAGATTCTAGGCAGGAGAGCTACGGCTGCAGAATAATAAACACTAGTGGCCAAAATGTCACCCCCAGCACCGTTGGCAGCAGGAGACCGCAGAGAGCCCGGGCGAGGGTGCTGGGTGGGCCGCCCTGCAAAGGGTGTCTTCTCCGCGTGGCACCCCACCCCTTCCCACCAGACCCCTCCCAGCAGTACTCACTTGCGGATCAGGGCCTTCATGTCTCGGAGCCACGAGGTCCGTGCCTTGAGCTGCCCCCCGAGCTGGTCGGCATGGCCTCTCTTCGTGGTTGGGACCAGGATGAAGATGAGTGTCCCTGTGATCATGCCCACGATGGGGGACACCTGACGGGGCGTGAAGCACCGAATTAGGACACAGGGCCAAGTCGGCTTTGTCTCTGCCCGGCCGGGTCAGGAGCGCCCTCAGGTCCCACCTTTTCTGGGCTCTGGGTTCCTCCTCTGGGCTAATAATCTGCCCAGCCTTCCTGATTGGACTGCTGAACAAAGCCACTGGGAACGAAGTCACCAAAAGGGGCTTAGGGGCTCAAACTGCAACGTGCGGAGCAGGGGCAGGAGAGGAGGGAGGACTGGAGGAAGCAGGGAGGGATGGGCGGTCAGATGGATGGAGGAGGGAAGACAGATGGCTGAATGGGTGGACAGAGAGATGGATGGAAGAATGGATGGATGGGTGGATGGATGGGTGGAAAGAAAGGAAGACAGGTAGATATGGGACAGACATAGGGAATGCTGAGTGGGAGAGGAGAGAGTTCCTGTGGACAGGGAGCCAGGTAGGTACCAGCCCTGCCCAAGCCCCTGGGTCTGTGGAAGTTTCCCAGGGCCAGATCCTCGCCCGGGGGCACTGGGAAGGGACTGGCTGGGCATGAAGCATCCAGCAAACAGATCAAGTAGGTTTTCACTTGGACGGGCCCATGTGGGTCCCAGGAGAACAGAGGCTCAGGGCCCCTTTGGGTCTTCCCTGTGTCCAGCCCAGTGTCAAGAGCAGAATCCCCAGGCCCCCATCCTCTCTCCAGACAGGGGACATCCTGGCAGCCTGGATTCCCAGATGTCAGTTCCTTCACCGGCTGATGAGACAGGGAAACCTGCTCCCACCCCCACCAGGCCTGGGAGCCAATGGGCTGGGGTGTTCCTCCCCATTCACCCCCACCCCCTTTAAGAAATTCCACGGAGGCTGCTTCCTTCCTGCTTTTGAGGAAAAAACACTTTGTCTTAAGCTTCCTCTCCTCCGCGAGGCTGGGGATCTCTGTTTCCTCTGATTGCACTGTCCTCGGGCCTTGGCCTGCTTGCCATGAATCCTCACCGGGGACAGGAAGTGGCTGCAGACCCCGGGAGGCCTCCCTAAACAGAGGTCTTGTCTCAGCCTCACCCCAGTGTGGTGCCAGGGCTCAAAGCAGGAAGTGCCCTTGTGGACCTGGAATTTCCTGACGCGGTGGGAGAATCTGTCCTCTCAGCCAGGGGCCCCCAGGGGTGGTGGGGCTGTTGGGCTCTGCTCACACCAGGGCACCCTGATACCGCCATGCAGACTAATCGAGAAGAGCGCAGGCAGGCCCGCCACGTGGGAGGCCTGGAGGCTGAGGCTGGCATCCTAGCCCGGGCTCTGTCCCTGAATCTCTGGGTGGCCCCAGGCACAAACTGCTCTGGGGGTGTCCTTACCCGCAAGGCCCAGTGCCAGTCTCCGGCTGCCTGCTTCACACTGGAGCCAGTGATGTAGCCCAGGCCGCTGCAGAGAAGACAGGAGCAGTCCTGAGGCCAGGTGAGGGCGGCGAGCAGGGGGCGCTCACTGCCTGTGTGGCAGGACCCCCACCCACCTGCCCCAGCTACCCAACCAGCATTTCTCCAAGGCTGACCACCTGCCCGCACGTTCAGGTCACAGAGGGCCCAACCTCGGGGGGAGGGAGCCGCCGGAAGTTTGAGGGGCCCTTGCCCAGATCCTCACCTGCCCAGCGGGATGGCGAAGTAGAAGACAGACAGCATGAGCGTGCGTGTGTTCTTGGTGAAGAGGTCGCCAATGATGGTGGGCGCGATGGTGGAGTAGCTGGCCTCGCCGATGCCCACCAGCCCCCGGGACAAGACCAGCAGCCAGAAGTGCTGTGAGGGAGGGGCAGAGAATGCTTGGTCCCTACGTTGCTCCACCCCCCACAGCAGGTTTGAGGTTTCAGTCCAGGAACTAGAGGAGAGGATGGAGCCTAGCCCTGTCTCAGCAACAACTACATGCCCAGGCCACTGTGGGCCTCAGTGTTGCCCTCCGTAGAATGGGTCTAACTGGGCCTGGTTGGCCCAGGGCTGGGATGGAACTTGACTTCACCCAGTGGAGAGTTGCAGGTCTGGTCCAGATGGCCCCTCAGTCCTCATAAGCAGGGAGGACATAAGGCTGTGTCTTCACATCCCCCTCCAGTTGGGAGGCTTCCTCCCTGGGTTCTGGCCCCACCTTGGGAGCCTCAGGTCACCCCCACCCTGGGTGCCACCGCCGGGCGGGGCAGCTGGGCTGACCCTGGCAGCACTGAGGCTCAAGTGTGAGCAAGGAGTGCGCAGGGCAGCCCAGTGGGCTCAGCACCCCTCCCCCGTGCACACATCAGAGAGCAAAGGCCCGTGGCGCTGGGGAGGGTGGAGCCATGCCAGCTGCCAGTCGTGCTAACCCCTTTGATGTGGACCCGTCCCCTCTGGCCCCCCAGCTGCCCAGGGCCTGAGAACCCAGCCTGGTCATCTTTCCCCGGCCACACCCTGACCACCCATCCGGCCAGCGTCGCCCACATCCAGCCCTCCTCTGGGCTCCGCTTCCCTCTCTCCATCTTCCCAGCCCTTTCGGCCCTGCCCAGCCATCTCTGCCTCTCGTTTCTACAGCTCTTTTGCTCTCTCCAGCGCTGGGTCTCTCCCTGGTCCCTTGCCTCTCTCTGCTCCTTTTCCTGGGGATCATCTGCCTACAGCCTTTGCCTATTTTTCTGTTAGATTGTCTTTCTTGACTTGATTTCTATTAGCCTTTTATATATCATGGCTACCGATCCTTTATTACATATGTCACAAATACTTTCCATCATCTTTCTTTCCACTTTGTAAGCATGTTGTTTTACCTGAGGGTGTCTGCTCTGTTAAGCTTCCCTTAATGGCTTCTGGATTTCACACTTTGTTCAGGAGGGTCTACTCCATTGCAAAATAAGTAAACTATTCTCCAATATTTAATGTTTGTTGCATTTTAGAGAGAGAGTAAGAGGCTGGAGGGGTGTCCTCGGCCATTCTGCTTGGTACAAGAGCAGGCAGGTCAGGCCTCCCGGACGAGGGTCCTGTTGCCCCGACTCCTCCCCCAGGCGCCCAGTATATTGTGCTTTCGTTTCTGCACATCCACGTACCAATGCTCCGCACCGAACATAAAGGAACAATTCCATGCACCTTGTCACACAACTTGCTTTTCCTTCCATTGTTATCTTTTAATACACAGGGTGCAGCAGAACTAACGCCTGCTTGAGAGTGGTTGGTAGAGTAATAATATGGGTGTAATAATTTAGAATTTTAATTTGAACATTTCACCTGAAATGTCATCTGGTGTGCTTGAGCGTGATATTGTTATATTAGAGAATGACACGCTTATGATTTTATAATATCAGAAAAAGGGGGTGTTATTTGTGCCAGGCCCTGTACATCTCATTCATTCTTTTGTGATCAAGAGTCTCTTAGGGTGAAGACACCCCATCTTATCTGGGCCGCCCTCAGTCATGTTCCTTTCAGCTATTTCCCTTTTTTCTATTTCAAGCCTGCAGCAAACACCCTTGTGTGCACTTGTGCCCAGCAGTTGGGGTTCCTGTCTTGGGCCGCTCTCGGAGAAGTAGGAGGCTGGGCGATACGTTGTGCACAGCTAGAATTTTACAAAATCCTGCCGCTGTGCTCTCCAAGAGTATCAATTTACACTCCCACCGGCAGCTTTAATAACACTTAGTATTGCCAGCCTTTTTAATTGTTGCCAATCTGATGGGTGTGAAATGGTGTCGCATTGTTGTTCTAATTTGCATTTTCCTGATGATTCCGGAGAGCACTGTCTCTTCCTCCTTTTGTTGCCCATAGGGAACCTTCTCCTGGAATTGCCTGTCACTATCTTTTGCCCATTTTTCTACTGTGTTGTTAATCTTCTTCTTGTTGCTTTATAGTTCTAGATTTTTATTGTTTGCTCTTCACATTCCTTTGACCTATTTGGAATTTATTTTGACATGTGGTTTGAAATACAGACTCAACTTTATTTTTCATCCAGATGGATAGTCAATTCTGCCAAAACCGTGGGAGGTGCAACTTTCGCCCTACGCATGGCTCCCGTGGAAAGGAGGGCTCCGTTCCATTGACCTGTCCCTCCGCTGTTTCAGTTAGAACCGCCATGTTGGAATAACTGATAGGGCAAGTTCTCTTTCACTCTTATTTTTCACAATGTTCTTGGCTGCTCCTAGGCATTTTCTCTGCCAAATTAACTTCAGAATCACATTGCCAAGGTCCACCAAAACCTCCTGTGGGACTCGGATTGTGGTTGCAATGAATTTATAGATTAATTGGGGTGATCTGTCTGTTTCTCTCTCTGCCTCTGCTCATCTTTTCTCCTCACCCCTCCCTCCCATCTATGCACCCAGAGCGGGACCCAGCACTGGCCTCGTGGTCCTGGCCTCGCTGGTCAACCCCAGAAGCCGCACCAGAGACCAGAAGGCCAGGGGCCTGGCCAGGGGCAGGACAAGGCCTAGAGGGGCCCTAGAGGCTTCTGGTCTGGGCCCCATTTTTTGCTGCAGGTGTCGGGCTGACACGCCAGGCTTTGAGTTGACCCGAGCCTGACCCTCCTCTGAAGCTGCCCCATGAAGCAAAGTTGAAACCTCAAACCTGCTGATTCTCTCCACGCTCACCTCCAGCCACCTCTCGGCCAGTGTGAACCTGACTCACCGTTTCCCCCTTCGCACTCCCCCAGGGTCCTCCCTGCGCTCGGGAGGAAGCCCAGGCCCTCCGGCCTGCCCTGTGAGGCTCTCCCTGACTGCGTGCCTGCCTTCCTTTCCAGCCAGACCACTGTCCTCCTCAATTTCTCAACACACTCCACCATCTCGGCACCTGTGATTTTGCTCCTTCTGACCATGCTCACTTCACCAGAAGGCCTAATCTCCCTGTCCTGCCTGCCCAGGTCAAATGCCACCTCCTCCAAGAAGCCCTCCCTGACCCACAGACTTTAAAAGACTGCTCCCTCTACATTGAGGACTCCTGTCACATCTTCCCATGCCCAGCCTGAGTGCTCCCAAGGACAGGGCCAGGGTTTCCTCCTTTGTTCCCCAGGCTGAAAACTCCTTGAGGACAGATCCTGGTATTTTCCCCTTCTTCCTCTATCACCCTCTACAGTAATCATCATGTGATTGTCCTTCCTCTGTTTGAATATCCCTAGTGATGGGAAACTCACTACCTTACAAAGCAACATATCCCCTTTTTGGAAGAAAGAAGAGTAATAATGATTTGCTGAACACCTGCCATGTTCCAGGGCCTATATATTCATTAACTCAGTTACTTCTCACAATAAACCTTTACACTGAGAAGGATTATCCCCATTTTAAAGATGAAGAAATTGAGGCTCAGAGAGGTTTAGTAAATTTCTCCAGATCACAAGGCTGAGTGGGCAACAGAGTTGGGATATTCAAACCCAGAACTGCAGGAGCCAAGTAAGAAGCATCTTCCTTATGTTGAAGTGATGTTTCCGAGGTGATCCTTCCTAGGACTTTGACCCCAGTAGTTAGCTGGTCGTCAAACAAAGAGCAAACTGTAGGAGGCCCAGACAGGGGGAGCGGCTCACCTACGGTCACACAGCAAGATGATGACAAAGCAAGGACTAGAACCAGAGGGTCCTGACCCCTAGGCCAGACCAGCTGCCCCTGCTCCTTGCATCCTCCCCGAATCAGGGGCAGCTTAGAAAGAGCCAGGGGCCAGGTCCCTCAGGGCAGGCCAGCGTGGGGAAGGCCCTGTTTGCGGGGCCGGTTTGTAAAAGCCCCCAAAGACCACCTCATCCCACTGTAGTTGGAAGGTAATATCTGCCGTTCAAGCAAAGGCACTGGAACCCCCAGTCTGGACTCAAACAGGTCAATCCAACTAGCCACCCACTCGGGGAACAGATGGGACACTGGGTTGCCAGGCACGAAATCTGAACAGGCCTCACCTGCTGGGAGATGAAGGAGCTGGAGAACGTGACTGCCGACCAGAAGAAAATGCCGCAGGTGAGGATCACCTTCCTGTTGAAGCGGTCGCCCAGGTAGCCAAAGACGGGGGCAGCCACCATGAAGCTGCAGATGAACACTGGGCAGGCAGAGGAGAGCGTGAGGGGCGGTGCAGGGTCCCTGCGGCCGAGACCCCCTACCCACACCACCCCGGCTTGAGGCCAAGAGCCCAGAAGACAAAGCTTGGCCTGCGCCGGGACTCAGCGGCCCCTCTGAGGAAGCAAATGTAAACAGTAAATGATGATGATTACGAGGGTGCAGCCTCCACCAGGCCTGGGCCCAGGGCGGCCGGAAAGGCCATCTGGGCTCAGGTGATGCTACCATGTCATCCTCTTTAATGCAGGCCGACGATTTGTCCCGTTGCAGGGGAGCCCCTTACTGTTTTAAAACCATAAAGGTTTACTCACCAAACAATTTCTATGTGCCAGGCGCTGTGCTGGGGCTCACCACAAAGTGCCTTGTGGGTCTCCCCACCCCGTCCCGCCTCACAGATGGGGAAACAAGCTCCTGGAGAAGTGACTGTCCAAGGCCCCACCAGCCCAGTGGGGACTTGAGTGGCCTGCCTGTCTGACTCCAGAGCCAGTGTTCCTCATACTTGGCCTCACTGCTCTCCTCATTAGACTTGGGAAAGATGGGGAGGGAACCACCCAGGGTCACACAGCAAATGAGCGCAGAGCTGGGCCTGGACCTCCAGGTCTCATACCTGACAGATCACAATGCCACCTACCCTCCTAGCACCTGAAAAGGCTTTCTTGACATTTGGAAACATTGTTGTTCATTTGTTCCCTCCTTCATTTATTCATTCACTCATTCAACCATCTATCCATCCATCCATCCATCCATCCATCCATTTGTCCATTCAACAAAACAGACAAAAATTCCTGCCTCCCGGTCAAGATGGCGACATAAGCAGACATGGCCTGCCTCTTTGCACAACCACATCAAAAGTACAACTAAAATACGGAACAATCATACTGAGAACTGTCAGAAATTGAGGTGAATGGAAGTCTGACAACTATGGAATTAAAGAAACCACATTCATCCAGATGGAGGCAGCAGGCTGATGCCGTATCTGAGTCTCCATCAACCTGGCTGACACTGTTTGACCTGCCTTGAAAATCCCCAGAGACCATACCCCACCCAGCTTACAGGCCCACTCACGCTGCTTTTCCATGTGAATGGCTGGTCTTGGCTCATACTTCATAACTTTCTAAATCCTATCAAACAAGCAATAGCTGGCCTCAGCGAGCCCCAGGGCCAACACTGGCAGCAGCCAGCCTAGATTCACAGCCCAGCTTCTCCTGGGAATCTCCAAGCCCAGCACAAGTAGCAGCCATCTCAGATTGCTTTATGGCTCAGGCAGGGTGCCCCAGGCAAAACACAGGGAGAAGCTAACCTTGGCCTGCATCACATGGGAAACCTCAGGGCCAGCACACCCAGTGGATAGATATGGAGCACATCGGAGGACCCTGCAGAGCTGATACTCCATGGAGGGTGGAGGTTGGTGGTAAGTGGTCATAGACAATCTTTGCAGCTGACTGGCCTGGGTAAATCCCTCCCATTGATCTACCAACAGCAACCAAGGCTCAACTAAAAGAGGAGGGTACACTTAGCCCACATGAAGGGTGCACCTCAAGTACTAAGCTTGGGTGATAGGGGAGGTTATGCCACTGGACCCTACAGGACACCTACTACATCAGACCATGCTATAAGACAGGGAGTCATAGTAGCTCTACCTAGTACATAGAAACAAACACAGGGAGGCTGCCAAAATGAGAAGAAAAAGAAACATGGCCCAAATGAAAGAACAGATCAAAATTTCAGGAAAAGAACTAAACAAAATGGAGATAAGCAATCTATCAGATGCAGAGTTCAAAATAGTGGTTATAAGGATGCTCAAGGAACTTAGTGAGGACCTCAGCAGCATAAAAATGATCCAGTCAGAAATGAAGGATACGCTAATTGGAATAAAGAACAATTTATTTATCCAACGGTAGAGTGGATGAAGCCAAGAATCAAATCAATGACTTGGAATATAAGAAAGAAAAAACAAAACAAAACAAAACCAAGCAATCAGAACAACAAGAAGAAAAAAGAATCCAAAAAAATGAGGATAGTATAAGCAGCCTTGACACAACTTCAAGAGGTCCAACATTTGCTTTACAGGGGTGCCAGGAGGAGAAGAGAAAGAGCAAGAAATTAGAAATTTATTTGAAAAAATAATGAAAGAAAATTTCCCTAATTTGGTGAAGGAAATAGACACGCAAATCCAGGAAGCACAGAGAGTCCCAAACAAGATGGATGCGAAGAGGCCCACTCCCAGACACATCGCAATTAAAATGGCAGAAGTTAAAGATAAAAAGAGAACCTTAAAAGCATCAAGAGAAAAGAAGTTAGTTACTTACAGGGGAGTTCCCATAAGATTGTTAGCTGATTTCTCAAAAGAAACTTTGCAGGCTAGAAGGGATTGGCAAGAAATATTCCAAGTCATGAAAAACAGGGACACAGCCACAACTGCTCTACCCAGCAAAGCTGTCATTTAGAATCGAAGGGCAGGTAAAGAGCTCCCCAGACAAGGAAAAACTAAAGGAGTTCATCATCACCAAATCACTATTATATGAAATGTTAAAGGGATTTATTTAAGAAAAAGAAGATCAAAACTATGAAAAGTAAAATGACAATAAATACAAATCTATGAACAATTGAATCTAAAAGACAAACTAAGCAAACAAAAAGAACAGAGACGGAATCATAGACACAGAGAGCATTTCAATGCTTGCCAGATGCAAGAGGGGTGCGGGGGATGGGTGAAGAGGTGAGGGGATTAAGAAGTACAAAGAGGTGGTTACAGACTAGCCAATGGGGATGTAAAGTACAGCATAGGAAATGGAGGAGCCAAAGAACATATAAGCATGACCCATGGACATGAACAATGGTGGGGGCATTGCCTGAGGGAGTGGGGGTGCTGAGTGGAGGGGGAAGGAAGAGGGAAAAATCAGGACAACAATAATGGCATAATCAATAAAATATAATTTAAAATAATTCCTGCCATCTTGGTGCTTTCTTTCCACTGAGGAGAAACAGACAATCAAATAAAAAATATAGTATACCAGATAGTCACACGTGTTAAACAGGGCAAAGGGAAACGGGAGATAGGAAATGTGTAAAACAGACACTATAATTTTTAATAGAAGGGTCAAAGAAAGTGACATTTCAGCAAAGACCTGGAGGAGGTGAGGGAACAAATCAGGTAAATATTGGGGCAAGACTAGCAAGTACAAAGGCCCTGGGGCAGGAGTGTGCTTAGCATATTTGAGAAGCAGCAAAGAGGCCAGAAGGGGAAAGGCCAGATGGGGTGGGCTTTATGGCCGACCCATTGTGATGCTCTGGCTTCTGCCAGTGAGAAAGGAACACACACCCTGGAGGATGCTGAGCAGAGGAGCGACCTGACCTGGTTTTGTTCTTCCAGCACAAGAGAAGGGCAGCCTCAGGGGACTCTGCGGGGATGTCACTGCTAGTGGTGGGAGGAGCTCTGGAGGTCCCAGGTGGGATAAAGAGGGCAGCAAGCATGGGCAGGCCTGGGTCACAGGCAAGGCAGTCCCACAGCTGATGGGCAGATGGCCAGACAAAGGCCGGGAGAGGGCAGACAAGGTGGCCAGTGAATGGCCTCTGACCGCCAGGCTGAATGTGCACATGGGCGCTGCTCTCGCACAGACCTGGGTCCCCAGGGAGGCAGGGCCGACAGAAGGGAAAGGGGGAAGGAGGAGGGCAGGCAGGAGGTGAGCTAGGAGACAGAGGGCGCTGCACTGGAAGAGTGCGACGTCTCCCTTATCTCAGGGGGAACAGTGCGTGTGTGCGGGTATGTGACTGGGCCCTTGGGCAGAATCAGCATAGATGTGCACAAATTTGGGCACCAGCAACACACTGCCTGGGTTCACAGTCAGCTCTGTTCCTTCCCAGCCGGGTGACCTTGAGCAGTCACAGCCTCTCTGGGCCTCAGTCAGCGGCGTGCTGAGAAGTGTTGAACAACTGGATCTCCAGGTGTGTAGTGTTTGCCGATTTTCATGGTGAAAATACTCTCACCCTGGCTGATTTCAAGCTACCAATGTGATATCGCTCTTCTACACAGCATTGTATATACAGTATTTCTGCCAGACAGATACAGTAGCAGTAAATGACCTTAAGAACACAGATAAGAGCAAAACCTAGTAAAATAATTAACAAGTGATGAATTGTATTTATCACCTTTGTTTTTTAATATAAGTTGTTTTACCATAAGTTTACATAACTTAGGTTTTAATCCTGGCTGTGTTTAACAACCAGCTCATGTAATTCCTGAAAATCTAACAGTTGACTCTCGTGCACAGATCTGAGCCACTTCTTGCATGCCAACTTCCTCAACTGTAAAATGAATATAAAAATAACAACTCTCTGGTTGTTCTTAGCAGTGGGCGAAAAGGACGAAAGGTGCTTCAGGCCCCACCCTGCACGGGGAGGGTCAGCCCCAGTCAACCCTTGGCCCTTGTGTAGATTAGCCAAGGCAGAAATCATTTCCTCATATCTAGAAAAATATTTTTTCCTGCTGGACTTGCCTCTCAGGACCTGCCTGAGATCAGACCAGGATATGGGCAGGAAGAGACCTCGGTCTCATTAGGACTTGCACACATTACGGGGAGAAGGGACAATTGTTCCCTCTCGGCCTGTCAGTGCTAGGTGGGGAGTGAACAAAAAGAATCAGGGTGGCACAGTGGACCTTGCACCGTGTCTGGTCCAGGCACAGACCCCATCTGTGGGCTGCCCAGTTTAAAGGGCCAAAATGCCAGGGAACAGCAAGGAAAGCCGACTCCTACCAATATCATGAAATAAGGCTCCGTGGAGGTGGTGATTTCAGCGCTGGGCATTGGAGGATGAGTAGGAATTTACTGTGATTATAACACTTAAAATCAAGAATAGCCCTGGCCAGACAGCTGCTTAGAGTGTCATCCTAATATACCAAGGTGGCAGATTCGCTCCCCAGTCAGGGCACGTACAAGAAGAATCAAACAGTGAGTGCACGAATGAGTGGAACAACAAATCGAT